CTCGTCCCTGCCTCCCTAACCTGTCCTTCCTCCCACCTATCCCCTCCTCCCACCTCAAGCCCCACCCCCATCTCGTACCTACTAACCTCATCCTGCCCCCTTGACCTGTCCATCCTCCCTGGACTGACCTATCTCCTCCCTACCTCCCCACCTACACTCACCTTTACTGGCTCCATCCCCGCCTCTTTGACCGGTCTGTCTCTTCTCCACCTATCTTCTCCTCTATCCATTTTCTATCCGCCTCCCCCCTCTCTCCCTATTTATTTCAGAACCCCCTTCCCCTCCTCCATTTCTGAAGGAGGGTCTAGGCCCGAAACGTCAGCCTTCCTGCTCCTCTGATGCTGCTTGGCCTGCTGTGTTCATCCAGCTCTACACCTTGTTATCTCAGATTCTCCTGCATCTGCAGTTCCTACTATCTCTCTCCATTATGATGGTGTGAAAATTAGATGAATTTGTTAATGCGTTTGATACAAAAATCAAATAATGCTGGTAATCACAAGGGAGGAATCAGTTTCAGCAGCCTTTATGGTTTATAGTTAATACTTTTAGCATTTGGTGATGTTAATCTATGCAATAAACTGATAAAACATCCACACCTGAACTAATAATTATTCTGTCTTTTCCAGAATGCTAAGTGTATAGAATTTTGTGTCTTTCATGTTCTTTCATGTTCTGTATTGACACTTAAGATTAGTGTCTTCTGCAGTTAAAAGGCTTTTACCGTTCATGTTTAGTGTTTTGGCAAAAAAAAGAGTTCACTATAGTTTTGCAGCCGCAAATTTACTAACAGAAAACTTACAAAGGTAAAATGAATTTGACATCCCCTCTGAGGTGAAATTTTCGAAACAAATAATTGTTCCTAATAATGGTGTTCCATTCACTCATTTGACAACACACTTCTGGATAGTTTGTTTTCTGTTCTTTTGAAAGATACAGGGAAAAAAAGAGCAAAGGTCGCATAAACAGGCATTGTCAGTCCAGCCACCAATAGAACCTGAGAAAAACATAAGGATCATTAATTTTCTTTGACACAAACAAGATTACAAGAATAAGTCATCTGTGAAAGGATACAAAGGCTGTTTTTATATTGTGGCCTTTGATTTGCAATGTACAGCCAATATTCCTGTAGGCTGTATTGTAAGGATCCAACATTGCATGCACGTGCTGGCTGTCTGACATTTTGGTCAAAACAGATCATGATTACAGAATTTGTGTGGCATAACATAACAAAATGTCACCACCAAAATATGCTAATCCTTCTGCAGAGTACTTTTTGGCCTATTAATAATGTCAGAAAGGTGCAGTGAAAAACAGATGCTCTGCACCACTATATAAAACTTGTCAAGTTTACATCTGCTGCAACGGCCCATGCTGTTGATGTGGGATGGTGAAAGAATAACAAACAAAAACATGAATATTTCACACAGAAACTGTGTATGCTTAAAAAATTAAAAACATTAATTTATCGCTACTATAAAAGGGTTCACTGTGATTTTTCTAGTACCCCTAAATTAATTAACATTATAATTTAATTTGTAATGACTGCATCCATTTTACGATAGGAATATTACCTTGTTAATTCATAATAATTAGGTTAAATTGTTAGTAGGATTTTTTTTAAGCTTGTGAAAATTGTTTATTTAAGATATTAAAATAATTACTTACCTGACTTTGGCTGGACTTTTTGGTGGTGCCAAATCTCTGGCATATGTAACCAGTACTAAAGACTTGCCATTCTTCATCAACCAAAGCCTGTACTTGAATTTCATATTTCACATCACGTTCATGTCGCAAACTAAAGGCTTTGTGTTCAGTAATTCCAAAAGGCAAACTTGAATCTGCTGGATTTATTCTCTGGAAATGAACAGATATTTAAAAAAGTAATATTATTGAAACCAATAGGAATTTCAGTGAAGGTTCATTGAGTATTGATATTCAATTCCTTTAAGGCTTGTGGACTGTTTGAGCACCTTTATTTATGTTAAAAAGTAGGGAATGTAGAAATGGATGTTGTTGTATTGGGGAAAACTTGGGAATGTGGCAGTCCTGGCAAACTTAATTGTCATTTTTACAATTCCTTTTCCTGCCCAACTGCCAGTAAAATTGGCACAGTGGCCAGTTGGGTGAACTAGGAGGAATCATTAGGGATAGCATCTGGAAATTTGGAAAAGATCAGGACCAACCATGGGTCTTGCAGCATGTTAATTGAGAGAAAAGAATTGGTTGCCGAAGCAGCAGTGTAGGTGGGACCAATAAACAGAAACAGGAGGGGAAGGATTCTGGGCAGATGAGAAACTCAAAGCAGTGCAATTGAGGATGAGGGATATATTGGAAGTTGAAGGGTGGGGTCACTTGATAGCGTCAGTGAGCTGCAGTGTAATTGAGTTAAAGGTTTACTTGAGAGCCTAAGGTCCTCTCAGACTCCTCCAGAGTCACATGTTTCCACAGAAAGTATTTACCTGCTTCATTTAACTTCTCACTTCTTCATTTAGCTGCCAAATTTCTCAAGCCTTGGGGAAACAAGCTGAATTGCATTAAATTTAGATCAAGTTCTGAGCTGATTTAAATATTGTGAAGAGGTGTCTCACCTCAAAAAACAGAACACATGCATGTCATTCAACCCATCTCCAAAACAACGGCAACAGTGCATATGTGGTGGGCTGGATCACATTCCATGCTTCCTGCTCATCATGAAGAGGATTAATAATGATCCCATTACTTTATGTAAAAAAAAGTTCTCCCATTCTTCATTCATAGAAGAATAACAGACAGAAAAAGAGGAATTTTATTTGTTTAATTTCTAACAGATATGAAGATACTGAACTAAATGAAATCACAATACAGTGAAACTGAAGAATCCTTGATTTATTCACAAATTTATAGAATGAATGTTTGAGCAAATACAATATAAGGTAATTCTTAACTACAGTCTTAATTTGAAACATATTTGGTTTGTTTTTTTTATATGTTGATTAACAAAGATGTCACAATTATGAGGGATCTAGGCGTACAAGTTCACAGATCCCTGAAAGTAGCAACACAGGTGGATGAGGTGATCAAAAGGCATACAGCATGCTTGCCTTCATCGGCCAAGACATCCAATATAAAAATTGGCAAGTTATGTTACAGCTGTAGAAAACTTTAATTAGGCCACATTTGGAATATTACATGCAGTTCTAGTTGCCACACTACCAGAGGGATGTAGATGCTTTGGAGAGGGTGAAGGAAAGATTTACCAGAATGTTGCCTGGTCTGGAGAGTTTTAGGTATGAGGAGAGGTCGGATAAACTCGGATTGTTTTCACTGGAAAGACAGAGGATGAAGAGTGATCTGATAGAGGTCCACAAAATTACGAGAGGCGTAGATACAGTGGGTAGTCAGAGGCTTTTTCCCAGGGTGGAAAGGTCAACTACAAGAGGGCACAGGTTCAAGGTGAGAGGGGTAAGTTTAGAGGAGAAGTGCAGGCAAAGGTTTTCACGTAGGGGGTGGCATGTGCCTGGAATGCACGGCCAGTGGAGGTGGTGGAAGCAGGCACATTAGCAATGTTTAAGGCGTATCTTGATAGACACATGAACGGAAGGCAAACAGAGGAATAGAAACCGCACATGGGCAATAAGTCGCACTTCTTAATAAGGACTAGGAATCAGTGCAGGCTTGGTGGGCCGAAGGGCCTGTACCTGTGCATATTGTATTTTATTGTATTATAGTCAATCCTGGCCACTAATATTTTTCTGTCTCCCTATGTTGTTTTGTTGTGTTTTTGTAAAAATCTGACTAGCCTTGACTTTTCAAACTAATCCTTCTTGAACTGAATGTACTTTATGCCAAAATGAATATTTAATAAGAAAGGCCAAAAAGTCTCTGAATGAGGACAAGTTTGTAGTACATCTAGGCAAGTGTAGTTCAACATTTATGCATGCAGGTGAGTGCACAGTAATCACCTGAGGCCCTAAACCTTTTGCCGTTTTCTCTGGTACAAAAATTGAAACATAAATTTCTCTGCTCCACTTCAAAGGAATAACCATGCGTGCAAACTAGAACTTCAATGAATATACTTTTGTAAATATCACCAATTAGTGATGAATAGATTCAGCCACTTCATTATGACAACAACTGTGTACACAAACCCACTGGCAATGCTTTGACCTGGGACTTGTATCTGGCCATGACAAATTCCACTGTGTCAGTCACTTTGTAGATCTGCTTTTCTTTCTTGCAGAGTGAATACGTGTGTAAAGTAAATTAATTTTATTAAGCTGATTTTTTTCCCATTCGTTGTACTTAACTGATATTTTAGCCTCTGTGTGTTTCTTGTTGATATGTGCTATGTTAAGTCTCAAGTAGCCTGAACATGAGCACTGGTGTGTGACTGGCCAGCTATCAGATGAGCTACACGTGATAACAAAAGTTCTATGGTGTGTAATAGTACCTTAAGGGGGCTTTTGTGACACAGTAGTTGAGGCCAAAAGCAGGTTCAAGTCCCACCTGTATTGGAGGTATGTCATAACATCTCTGAACAGATTGATTAAAAATACCTAACACTATCTTAAGGGCTCTTGTGCTGTAGTGATAGTGTTGCTATCTCTAAGCCAGGAGACCTAGGTTCAAGTCCAACCTGCTCCAGAGCTATGCAAAAACACCTCTGAGCAGGTTAATTAGAAAATGCCTAACAGTACCTTAATTCTGATAGGCTGTATTGGTGCCATGGGTTTCCTTTTCACTTGGGGCTCACTATTTTCAGTGGCAAACCTTATAATCATTTGTACAGGCTTGTATGATAACACAGAATCTGTGCTGACGTAAATGCTAACAACTTATACACCACTGAATGCCACATGTCCAATTGCACACTGATTAGAGTGTGCCCACTCTAATCAAAGCATCATTCACTGATCTTGTAAGGGGAGACCGGTGACTAGTGTTGCATCTCCCTCCATTGAAAAACAGGATCAGTCAAATCAGAACAAAATGTGACATGGGTGCTCAACTGATGGATCTCTCCCTGCCTCAGCTCAGTCCATATCAACTCATGAACTTGCAGGGTACTCCATACTCACCGACCCAAAGATAGAGCTTGTGGTTCCTTCTTGAATTTGACCATGAGCTTCATTTGCAATATCTGCGCAAGTTGTTGTTCCAAGTTGGAATCATTCCAAATGTTTTTTGCATTCTGCAAATAATTCAACTTTTCTTCTGTCTTGCATATTGACATGTATGGTCTACCATTTGTTCCAGACTACAGACTTGAATACGTGCCATCAGACTTGAATATGTGCCAACTTTGCCTTTAAGGATAAGAGTTGTGGGAAATGAGACAGGGGAATTGAACCATTGAAATTCCTTCACACAGCACATGCTCTTTCTCATGACAGTGCACAGAAGTTTTCACTCCCACAACATTATTTTCTTTCTCCTTAGTCATAAACTTTCATCAGTGGTCAATTTTTAAATATTAATGTTTTACCATTCTCTTTTTCTTATTTTTCTGTCTGTGCATGTTGGTTGACTGTGCTCAAATCATTTACTTAATGTGCTAACTTTTTCAAACTTATTCCAGAACTCCTGTCGTGTTCTCCAAGTTGACAGCAAGTTCTGTCTTGCCATGCTAAGTTCCCATGCTATGCATATTTTGAGTGAGGTCACTCCTCATCCAAATCTGCTGATGTTGTAGTAGTTGTGGCACATATCCAGAATCTTGTCCAATTGACAAACTTTGCAAAATATTTGATCAGTTAATTGTTTGAGAAGCACTAAAAATCAAAAAATGGTTACAGAACAGGAGGTGGCCTTTCTGCCCATTGTATTCATACCAACTCTCTGCAAGAGCAATTAGTTAGTCCTGCATTCCCACCTTTATCACTTCAGGCCACCATTTTTCATGTCCTCAGATGATTATCCAGTTTTGTTTGAAAAGTCACAGTTAAACCTGCCTCTCCCACATTCTCAGGCAGTGCATTTCAGACCCTGAATAACTTCTGCATAAAGAGGTTTTTCCTTTTGTCACCTTCAGTGCTTTTGTCATTCACCTTAAATTAGTGTCCCATAGTTCTCAACCCTTCCAACGATGGGAACAGTGTCTCCCTATCTACTCTATCTAGACCATTCCTGATTTGAATGCCTTCAACAAATCCCCTCTCAACTTTTGGTCCCTGAAAAATACAATTGCAACCTCTCGCATCTATCCATATAACTGAAGTTCCTCATTCCTGGAAAGCATTCTTGTAAACCTTACTGCACCCTCTCTAATATTTCCAAATGTTTCTTAAAGGGTGGAGCCCAAAATTGGACACACTATTTGAAACGTGACAAAGGTTCACTGTAATATTTTTGCTTTTACATTGCAGGATCCCTTTTATCTTCTCAACATGCCTGGCCATCTTCAATACTTTGTGCACAAATACTCACAGATCTCTGCCAGGCCACTTGTAATTTCTGTGACCTCGAGAAATTGTTTACTTTAAATGTGCGAAGGTGCAGCTCCATCGCAATATCTCAGCAGGCCGCTCCCAAAGTTTTTGCTGTGCTTCAGCCCCAAACTCCTGACTTTTGGCCACACAGTATAGAGGGAGAATGGGATGCTTGTGGCTTTCAGTAACCACTGGCCTTCACACAGGCAAGAGTGCATCATCAGGCCCCTAATAAAAACCTTTTCAATTTAACTTGATAAGCTTCCTTTCAAGTTTTGTTCTTGTTACAGCGTCCCTTTAGTGGTATTATCGCTGACTGTTAATCCAGAGACCTGGGTTCTGGGGACCTGGGTTCGAATCCCGCCATGGCAGATGGTGAAGTTTGAATTCAATAAATATCTGGAATTAACAATCTAATGATGACCATGAATCCATTGTCAATTGTCG